AAGGGTGCCGCTGCCTACATAGTGGGAGGGAAAGTTGTGCCTTTATCCAAATCTGCTTCTGGGAAGGGCAGGTTCTCAGCTCTTCTAAGCTCAGAGAGCACCCTTTGATTTCAGTGGAGCGAGAAATATATCACTTAGGGTCTAGAGTGCTGTTGGGTTTGCAAAGGTCTCAGAGCTATAGTTTCGGAGTTTTCTTCCTCTCTTTGCTCCTTTTTCTGTCCTATGTTTTTCATTATTCAAATCATTGCTTTAAAAAGCAAATAGCAGTATTACCTGAAAATCTACTAAATATCTGCTCTTATGCAAAAAATTATTTCTAGAGTGACTGCCTTTCTCAGAAGCCACTTCTTGCGGCTTTTACGATTGGATATCTAAAATTATATGCACTGGGATATGAGCAATAAATGACTTTCCATTAACAGCAACTTCTCATCAGGAGTTTACAAATCTATTACTGCTTGTCTTTTCTCTTGACACGCAGTTGCATTCCCAACCTACAAAACAAAGCCACTAAGGCCATGAGGTATTCTATTAAATTTTCAAAACGTAAGACTTGGTGTCAGATTTGACCCAAAACATAACTTGCAGAATTGGTTTGCCAGCAGTGTGTCTACCCCCTTAACTCCTTACACAGAATGGCAGGAAATTGTTCCTTCACCACATCTTGCAGGTGCAGACAGCAGAAGCTGAAGCCAGTGAGAGGAGAAATGTCTCAAACTAACCAGTTCTCTGCATTTCACAGCATGCCTGCACTCTTCTTGCATCCTTTTAATTTAGGCTTGTAATTGAGTTCTCTGAAATAAATTGTTAACTCTCTTTGGTGTCAGGCATAAACTGTCAGGAATGTGAAAATGTGATACAAAAGAGAATTTGAATAAATAGGGTAAAGGGTGAGAGAATAGGTCATGGGAAGAGCTCAAATGACAGTATGTGACATAAATACTACTCCAGCCCAATATCCTGTCTGCAGAAGGGGCCATTAGAGCACACTTAAGAAAGATTATAAGGAATGTGGCAAATATAATAATCCTTCCTCAAACAGTCAGTGGATTAGAGACCATTAATTGTCACAGGGCTTAAGGGACCAAGTGAGAACAGGACTCCAAGGTACACATGAGGCATAAAGGGTTGTGTAAACTGCCGGCTTCTCAACAGCACATTTGACCCCAGGAGAGATATCCCTGTTTAGCAAAACTAATACAACAAATGGTCTCTGTGACAGTGTCGTGAATCTCATACAGTCCTATCTAAGAAGACCTGCCTCTCAGTGGAGAATATAGTACTGAGCTGGGAGAATAAAATTTAAATGCTAATAGAGAGCAATTCATGCCACAGAGGCAACCAGAAAACTTCAAAGATGCCAGTTCTTTCGGAAAACTCATTTAACTTGTACTTCTCCACCCCACTTGTCCCAATAGCCTACTGTCCTCTCCCAGGTAGGAATGATGCTTAACAACAAAAAAGCCATCATACTGGGGCAAGCCAGAGGCTAATTAGGCCCATAATCTGCCTCTGTCTGGCCAACATCCTATACTTCAAGCAAGAACAGAAAATCAGGGTGCTTATGGAGCATACGTGCACATGGCATTGCCCTCCCAACCTTTGCCTATTAAAGTTTCAGCAAATTCCACAGCCAAGTATGCAGCTGGACCAACAAGTTCAACAGATATTCATGGACTTATTCTCCCTGAATTGGTCTAATCCCTTTTAGGGCGACAAGCTCATTTGACTCAGTTCCACAAACACACAAGCCAATACAAATTAACATGGAAAACATTTCTTCATAAGAAATGAACAAGACAGCGTTGTGTATTTGCCTTCCCCACAAGGAAATGCTATGCTAAGCAAGAAGAAAGTCAGCTGCCAAGGAATAATGACAACTACCACTTGAGTACACAACCTTCACAGGGAGCAGCAAATTACCATTCTCCTCTGCGGGAAAACCTGGCTTACACCCCTGGTCTGGAGGACATTCAAAGAGCAATGGAAGAGCATGGAAGAACATGAAAGCAACCTGTAATCTCAGTGTACCATAGGCGTTAATTAACCTGGCAGACATCCAAACTGCTGGCATCAAAATCCACTTATCTGGGAGCTGCACATTTCAGCATTTCTGCAGACACTACTACGCACAGAGGCACTGCACTGCACAGGGGCAGCAGGCTACCAGAAAATAAGAAAAAGAGGCAGAAATGGAGGAACACTGAAAATTATTACATTGCAATCAGAAGATCTGTTATTAGTTGGAAAACCTTGTTATCTGAAGAAACGTACACCTAAATAAAGCAGGGGTTGCATCAAGAATGTAATAAAAACAACTTCGGGAAAACAAGCATGAACGATCTCTAGTGAGAATACACCACAATGACGACCGTTGTGCTGGTTTGGACTGGGATAGAGTTAATTTTCTTCTTAATACCTAGTATAGGGCTATGTTTTGGATTTGTGCTGAAAACAGTGTTGATAATACAGAGGTGGTGTCGTTACTGCTAGGCAGTTCTTACACAGAGTCAAGGCCTTTTCTGCTTCTCACCCCACCCCACCAGCTGACCCCAACTGACCAAAGGGATATCCCACACGATATGACATCATGTTCAGCATATAAAGATGGGGGAAGAAGAAGGAAAGGGGGGACATTCAGAGTTATGGCATTTGTCTTCCCAAGTAACTGTTATGCATGACAGAGCCCTGCTTTCCTGGAGATGGCTGAACCCCTGCCTGCCGATGGGAAGTAGTGAATGAATTCCTTGTTTTGCTTTGCTTGTGTGCGTGGCTTTTGCTTTATTTATTAAAATGTCTTTACCTCAACCCACGAGTTTTCCCACTTTTACTCTTCTGATTCTCTCCCCCATCCCACTGTGGGGGAGTGAGTGAGCAGCTGTGTGGGGCATTATTGCCAGCTGGGGTTAAACCACAACAGTCCTTTTTGGTGGCCCAGTGTGGGGCTCGAAGGGTTCGAGATAACGACAGGTTTGGCTGGAATGTACTAGATCGAATTTATAGCTGTTTACCTATTAACTGGCAGGCTCCTGTGCTTGCCATGGGACTTGGTTGCCTTACTGTATATTAGAGTCCAGTGCTCATTAGTGGCTGCGTTTTGCTTTCGCTGCTTGCTGTAGTGCTGTACTGCTGTACTGCTGATCATCTTACTCTGCCACGCCTGGGAACATTTTGATAACCGCAATGGCCATGTGTCTGGGCTGGCAGATGGCTAGGGCATGGCTGCTGTTTCTGTTGCTGTACTGGACAGACTGGAACTCCAGTGTGAACTTGAGTTGAAGGGACTGTGACCTGTGGATGAGTCCATGCAGGAGCAGGTACACTTTGAAGCATCTGTGGCCATGATTATATCTGTACCACAGCAGGTATACCTCTGAAGGGATTGTGGCCCAAGCATAAGTCCACACTGGAGAAGGTACACCTCGAAGCATCTGTGGCTGTGCATAAGGCCGTGCTGCAGCAGGTACACCTTGAAGCATCAGTGGCTCTGCGTGAAGTCATGCTGGAGCACCTTAAAGCGTATAGACATGCATAAGCCCACAACAGAGCAGGTACATCCCTGGAGGGACTGCAGCCATGGGTAAGGCCATGTTGGAGCAGGTTTACTTCTGACAGGACTGTGGCTGTGGGTAAAGCCACACTGGAGCAGGTACATCTCTGAAGGCATTGTGGCCCATGCAAAAGGCCATGCTGGAAGAGGTGCACCTCAAAGCGACTGTGGCTGTGGATAAGTCTATGCCGCAACAGGTACGCCCCTGGAGAGACTGTGGTGCATAGATAAGGCTCCACTTGGAGCACGTACACCCCTAAGGGACTGCTGTCTGTGAATAAGTCCAAGCCTGAGCAGGGGCAAGGGGAGGAGTTCATTGCAATGTTAAACCCTATGGTCTGGTCCAAAGAGACCAGTGGCGGAGATTGTAATGGAAATACCTTCACATTGTAACCCAGGGATTGAGTTGCATGTTACAAGAATTACTATAGCAGGAACCACCCAACTAGTGGAGGACAAGCCTTACAAGAAGCAGTGCAAGTGCAGCAGTGACCCAACCTGAGCTGGCTTTGGTGCCCAGTAAGTCCACACAACACATCACCTCTCCTGTCCTGAGTGTCCACCAAAACAGATGGAGCCTAAAGTCATAGACTAAATGAACCCAGTGGACATTTGTGCATGTTTTAAAGACATTTTACAGGGATGGCCCATAGACTAAGGGAATGATATCTGCGTATTATATCAAAGGATGGGAAGAGTGGTGGTGGTTAATGAGGTTGTACTGGCTACAGTGAGACCTGAGCATGACATAAATGGTATGGAATAAGGGGTGGAGAATGTGCTGAGTTTGGGTGGGATAGAGTTAGTTTCCTTCACAGTAGCCAGTATGGGGCTATGTTTTGGATTTGTGCTGAAAGCAGTGTTGATAATACAGGGATGTTCTAGTTATTGCTCCGCAGTGCTTACACAGAGCCAAGGTCTTTTCTGCTCCTCACCCCACGCCACCAGTGAGGAGGCTGGGTGTGCACAAGAAGCTGGGAGGGGACACAGCTGGGACAGCTGACCCCAATTGACCAAAGGGATATCCCACACCATATGGCATCATGCTCAGCATATAAAGCTGGGGGAAGAAGAAGGAAGGGGGGAACATTCAGAGTGATGGTATTTTGTCTTCCCAAGTAAGTTACGTGTGATGGAGTCCTGCTTTCCTGAAGATGGTTGAACACCTGCTTGCTGATGGGAAGTAGGGAACGAATTCCTCATCTTGCTTTGCTTGCGTGTGCGGCTTTTCCTTTGCCTATAAATTGTCTTTATCTCAACCCATGAGTTTTTTTTTTCCCGTCCGATTGGCTCTCCCATCCCACAGAGGGGGAGTGAGTGAGCGGCTGTGTGGTGCTTAGTTGCCAGCTGGGGTTAAACCACAACAAGGTACAATCATGCTGAAGCCAGAAAGGGATAACAGTTCAAGTAAAGGTATTTGTCTCTGAAAATGAATTGTTTTTCTACATACCTGTCCAGTCTCCTACTACTTTAAGGTGGACCCCAAACGTTGCTTTGGTATCTGTAGGGCACTAAAAATATTAAATATATTAAGGACCACTTCTGAGTAACAAGAAAACAACAAAATGCATTCAAAGTACAGTTGTTAAGACAAAACCTGGTGCAAACAGGTCATTCCTGAGCATCCATACCAGCAGCTATATGCTTTAAAAAGCAAGTCTAGCATCAATACAGTTCAGGAAGCCGAGCATGTCTAGTCTCCACTCAGTGTTAACCCCTTCTTATGGTCAAAGGGGAGTTTGGGATGGGCTTCTCTGGGGGTGTAATTTGGAACAGCCACTTAGAATAACAGAATCATAGAATCGTTTAGGTTGGAAAAGA